TCTCTCTCTCTCTTCTCTCTCTCTCTCTCTCTCTCTCTCTCTCTCTCTCTCTCTCTCTCTCTCTCTTTCATCAACATCCATCCGTGTGTGTCTAAAACAACTCCCTCTCTCTCTCCCAGCCCAGCCCAGTCCAGCTCAGCCGACTCCTACTCCCAGTCCGGCTCACCTACTTCATTAACACTCGGTTGCTAGGATGCGTGCCGTAAATCAGACATCACGCTAGCACCTCGTCCCTCGTCCCTCGTCCCGCGACCCCATCCATCCCCCCTCCCATCCACATCTGCAGGCCCTCTCACTTCGGCTCCACTCACTGGGTCCTGATACATCTATCTATCTTGATCCCCCTTTTCTCTGTCCGAACATTTCACATTCGTCTAGCTCTCCAATACGACAACTCGACTTGCAGACCACACCGCCGCCAGTCAACCAACCCGCGCTGAAGAACTCCCCCCACGCCTCCATCCATATCTTCTTCCCAAGATGGTGCAACAGGTACCAGGAGGAAACCTGCAACCCGGGAGCTACTACCAAGCGAGGGATTGGCAACGCACAGATAATCGAGACCCTTATCTAGAGGACCATCGCCTGCAACATGTTCCTCCCCCCGTGCAGCAGGGACATCAACATGCTGAGGCTACCGTGAGTGATCCATCCCATCATATGCACCCAGAGACCAACCAGTGGTCTAACACTACTCAAGACGATTGAAGCAGCATTGAAGCAATGTGCCCGGATACCTGTCCGGAATTTTGCTCTCATTGTGATAAAAGATAATGGAGAAGAGGTCACCTACGCCGGAAAGTCCATGACCCCGTACCTGGACCGGATCTTCAGCAGAGAGACAAAGAGGGCGTTCCGTGGAGCTCTCCGTGAATCCGAGGGGAGATCGTACCATCCTCGTAGGTCGATGAGCTTGATTTACTTACCTCTGGAGGTCGGAAACCGTTGGCTAACGGGTGTGGCATAGCGTATCTTTCAATGGGTTCCCTATCCGAGTATGACGAAGGTGGTCCCAACCGGAAGTACTCCAGCGGTGGATCGTCATCGGACCTTGGACGCCGTCCACATCGCAAGTCCAGATCCGAAGAATCGGATGACGGACCGAGGATCTCCAAGAGACCTCGGCGAGGGAACCCGGGGCAATTGCGTGAGCGGTCAGATGAGGACGCGCCGCTCCCGGTCCCGGCTCAGGAGAGGCAGCACTTGGTCATCGGCAACGGGGGTGACGTCTTGCAGTACTATCACCGGAGGTTCAGGGAGATGCAGCAGTCGGCATGTAAGGTGATGGGAAAGGCATTTGTCCGCTTGATTGAGCCCAAGAAGCAGACGCACCACCCCTACACCAAGGGTAACGACAAAGCACCGCCGTGGTGGCCGAGCACGAGCGGTCAAGAAGGCGTCCGACACCGAGAGCCCGACCACCTTTTGAAGCATGGTAGGCTCTGGCTAGCTCTCGCTTTGAAAAAGTTTCCCGTCTAACTTGTCCATAGAGCGGACTCACCTGTTGGTCCACATCCTCAGGATGGTCATTGAGCCTAAGAAAACCCAGCACGCGACGCTACAGAAGTCCGGGGGGTTGGATGTCAAGACTCTGGAGTTGGCGACCATGGAGGCCATGTCCAACTGGTTCGCGGACAAGGACCACCCGGACAACGAGGCCAAGAGGCCTCTGCTCAAGGAGATCTTCAAGGTTGCCAAACAAGAGGAGAGGTTTCGCATGGGCGAGATTGGTACGTCGGCCCTGGGTCACGGTTTGAAGCATGATGAGAATCTGACGCTGCTTCTTAGATGCCAGCACTACGATCCCGGTATGTTGCGACGGGAAACTACGTGACGATGACGACTCTGATGACAACGCCCACTTCAAACCGGAAGACGATGATGAGGACGACTTCCAATCCGGTTCCATCATGACACCGCCTGATAGTCTTGTGTCGCCCGCCATGGGCCAGAACCCCCATTTCCAGCAGCACGTGAACATGGACTCCGAGTACAGAGCGCAGCAAGTCGTCCGCTCCAATCTCCAGCTGCGGCCGTCCTATCCAGCCTACGAGATGCCAGGCATGAGCTACGAGGATCCCGTCCACTCGATGAATTACCACCAGCCCGGCCCCAACCAGATAGACCCCTCTCGCCGACTCGGCTTCTCCCCGGTGTTTCCCCAACAGCATCATCCCCTCCAACATTGGGGCAGCAACAATATGGTCAGCTCCAGCCAACAATCCCCTTCGTACACCACTTCTCCCCAGGCCATGGTCTCCGCGTTTTCCGGACCCGTCCTTCCCGCTCCGCAGCCGCAGGCATCCAACAGTCCCCCAAACCAGTTCGATTCTTTCCAGACCAAGTATGATATCAGGCCAGCACCCGGGTCTCAGTTCAGGACGGGCAGTATTGGACATCCGCACCACCCTCTGCAGGCGCCGCAAGCAGCCCCGGGAGGGTACCATGAATATCTAGCTCAGGAACAAGGGTATTCCGGTCCACAGGAGTTGAAGGAGGAGCCGCATCAGGGCATGGGACAAGGTGGGATCTATCACTCGCAAGCGTAGGCCTGGTCGCAATATGCAGCAAGCAGCAAGCAGTACGGCGCAACCATGAAAACTCGAGTATCGGCGTCAAAATTTCCGGAGGCAGCATTTTTAGCGGATACCCTCATTCATTTATCTATCGTTCGGCGATCCGAGGTGTTTGAATTCAATTCCATCTACCGCGCGCGAGGAGCCCAGTTTTAAAACTAGCAAAAAGGCGGTGCAAAGCATTTTACTCCCTATGCGCGTTCGTTCTGCTCGTTCGTTCGTACGTCGATATACCCCTAAAGTCTCGTCCGTCACTGGTTTTGTCGATACACCCACCACCCCCTTTCGCGTCACATCATCCGGACCTTGTCGCGGATCGATCGGGATAGACTCTTCACAACCTTTTGTTTTTGTCCACATCAATAGCGCGATCTATCACATCCTTATCCAATTCCCCGGCTATCCATATCATATCCGGCATCTTATCAAATTATCTTATCTCACTATTCAAAGGCTGCGTTTCCAAGGTGTTTTTTTTTTCCTTATCATTATCCTCTTGTATGTTGTGGGTAATGTGGCCTGTCCCATTGAATCCAGTCCCAGATAGGGCAGGGCAGAGCAGGGGCAGAGCAGAGTAGAAGCAGGGCGGTGGCAAAGGATGACGGCGACGAGGGTATCATCACTGTATTCTTCTCCTTTTTTTTTACACCTTTCTTCTTTTTACGTTTCTGCAACGAGCCCTACGAAATATCTTTAAAATAACCACTCCTCCTCCTCCTCCTCTTTGAGCTTGCCCATTACATTTAAATTGAAAAAAAGATGACAATAATGAAATGTCCACATCTTGGAGCTATGTAGCCCAGCCGAGGGATGAAGTGATGAAGTGATGAAGTGATGAGGATGAACATGCTTTAAATTTTTATTATTTCTATTATAATTGTAAATTATTATATATATATATATATTAATCTATCACTTCTCTCAATCTCAACAGCCACCACCACAATCCCATCCCATCCCATCCCATCCCATCCCATCCCAGCCCTCTCCTCCATCCCAAACTCTAGATCCCCTCCTTTCTCTCTCTCTCTCTCTATCTCTCTCTCTCTCTCTATTTCTCTCTCTCTTTCTCTCCCCCTTCCCACCTCTAAGGTACCTGACCTACTCATGTAATCGATGAGCATGAGCATGAAAATAAAAATCGAAAATCGAAAATTGAAACGGGAGGGGAGAGGAGAGAGGAGATGAGGAGAGAGGAAATGAGAAGGGAAAAGAGAAGAAAAATCACGGCGCACCGAGGCGGCGCGTGCCGCGACGGCGTAGCTTAACCTCCGCTATCAAACCGGCGCTCGGCGCTCCTACGCCTTTCGTTTATAGCTTTGGGTGGGGTGTGATGTGGTGTGATGTCGAATAGCATAGCATAGCATAGAATAGCATAGCATACTCGATCTAGACCCCCCCTCCTAACCTAACCTATTCTCTACCAATTCATTCCCAGCGAGAGGCAATCTGGATCTGGAAATTTCGGTGTTGATGTGGGGCGGCTGGCTAGATAGTGAGA